AAAATGTTTCCTTCTGTAAATAATAATGTAATGTGAGTACATCCGAGAGGTGAAATAATTATTAGCTCAAATAATGAAAAAATTGGGTTGGCTGCTCTGTCATTGTATAGTGCTGAAACATTTTATTTTCTTAGATTATATCTATAAATCTAATCTAAATTTAATCCATCATTGCATTTGCTAAATAGGTACTGTATGCTAAAGTTCATATTTGCTGTCATCAACATATAATTTCCTAATATTACAAATGAAACTAGGTTACCTTCCTATATGTAAGTTAACACTTAACAATTTTGTTTTCAATTCAACACTTTTCAAAGCACTGAGAATTAAGCACCAGATTTATTTATCACCTCAATGAGCCAGAGATGGACATAAATGGTATTGCTGAGAAAAATGTCAACCTTGGCAACACCGACTTCACAACTCCCAACTCAAAAATACTAATTTAACTGTAAACACTATAAATTTCAGAGGGCTGTTGTGTAGCTATTTCAGAAATGCCATTGTCAGACAGTTGTAAAGGACTAAAAGGGTGGGGATTGGTGGGAATATTTGACAAATACTTTCTATTATTCATTAACCTTTATAAGTTAACCTTCCACTTTTATGTGAACCATTTTCTAGTATTTTCCTGCCTAGTGAGAATAGAAAAAAACAAAAGAGTTTTATTCATTATCTATTTGAGTTTGTATTTCCAGAAACCATTTTCTGTTGCATTTCATTCTTTTTAAAACCCTTTTCAGCTCTTATTTTCTCTACATTAATTCATTCAATCTATTCTTGCAACATGTGGTTTTTGAAAATCACATGGTAAAAGGCTTTGTGGAATTATCAACACTAAATTAACCCTTGTTTTATACATTAAAAAGTATTCTGATAAAGTGTGGAACTTTGAACATATTTTATAGGATCTGTTCTTTGTGTCTTAGTATGTTATTAAAATCAAATAAGACCTTAAGTCAACTATTCACATGAAGGCTTCCATTTTTTATGTACATCTCCTAAAACCCTAATTAATAACTTATCATAAACATGTTCTCTCTTTAGATTTTTGTTCTGTTTTCTTCTGATTAAAATATATAGTTGAAGAATAAAATTTTATTTAATGTCTTTAGATGTTCAAGTCTGATTAAAGATGCCTGCTTTCTACAAGCAATTGTGACCTCTTTTTCTTGACTACCTGCTCTTGTAGAATCCCCTAAACCTCTCCATCCCTCACCCCCATTCAGTTTGCCCCTTTTTCACTGCCTTTAAAATGTGTTTTTTTTTTTTTTTTTTTTCCCTTTTCTGGCCGTTTTCAACTCTGTCTAAAGCCCAACTGAGTCTCCAGAACAGCGAGGTTGTGTTTAATCCAAAAGGGGTGATCCACCTTGAGAGAATAATATTCTTCCCCTTTTGGATTTTTTAACAGACTTATCATAATAGGATTATTTCCTCCCCATTGCTGACCCTCCTTCTAAATCTTGTTAGAAAGCTACCTGGAAAGTTCTCATTCTGGTTCACTTGATGTGGAGGATAAACTCAAGCACAGAAGCATGGTTTAAAATTTAATCTTCCAGAAACTGCAAGGCTTAATTTTAGGAATACATTAGGATGTAATTTTTATGAATTTAGATTTTTAGTGTCCCTCTATTGTCTCGGTGCAAAGTTCCTGCTAGTCAGTTTATTTTTAAATGATTCAGTGAGAGAAAAATGTTTTCTCTGCCTATTCAGTGCTGCTGACAGGAGAGGAAGATAACTTTATGGAAGAAGGGGCAAAGAGAGTAAACTATTTTTACTTTCTGAGAGGAATGTATCAACAAAGAAAGACTGGAGGGGTTATTTCCTAACATAAAGAAACTGTGAGGAACATGGGGGGATATTAGCCTTTGAGATTTGTTGCCGGAGTAGCCAGAACAATATTCCCTCCTCACAGGGTTGGGGGGTGAAATCAAACCAGTTCCCTACAACTCTACAGGAGGTCACAGGATAAGAGCTTGGGGGGCATGGTTGATGGTTGCAAAGGGTTGTTAATTCTATTATCCTTGGGCGAGAGGTCCTTGTCAGGGCTGGAGGAGGAGGAAGGGGAGGAGGCTGCATAAAAGGTAAGGGGAGGTTGTGAGCCCAGGCTATTTTGGCATTGGAAGTGATCACATACCACACATATCTTTATCCTCTTGACTCATGTGGACTCACAGAATCAGTCCCCTCCTTTTTCCTCCCCCACTCTGCGCATTGGAAGACAACTCTTCAGAAATGATCCCATATTGAGTAGAATGGTAACAGTTTACTACACCCCCCAGTATTTTTCTTTCATAGACCTGTGGGCGTGTTAGGACAACAGAAAGTTGCAGGTAGCTTAGTTTAGCATTACTGAATCATTACTCAGCATCAGTGTTTGAGTGATGCCACAGACTTAACAGTTTTAGCTGTTGGCTCAAGGCACTAACTTGGCAAAGTATGAAACGAGTGCTGCTGAGGCGTTGGAGGTCAAGATTAATCCTCTTTCTGTTACACCACTTTACTCATTCCAGCTTAAAAGAAAGGGACTTTATTGTGTAACTTTACATCAGAGACCACAACAACTGCTCAATCTAACCCAGATTATGATAAACAACATAAGTAGCAACTACTATGTAGATGATGCACAGCTATACATAATGATTTTACTAGCTAACTATGAACCCATTCAAGCACTGGGTAAATGCATAGAAGAAATTAATTCATGGATGTGGAACATTTTCTTCAGCCGAAACAAAACTAAAATAATTATTTATGGACCAACAGAATATTTCAAACTTAGCGTGCTGATAATTATTTTCCAAATGATAAAATATCTCTCCATGTTTATTTTAGTGAACCTTCACCAGTAGGAGCTATCGTTGGTCCCCCATGTTTTTTCCACATGCAAATTTTACCAGACGCACAGGGCAGAAAATAAGGTCTTAAATGCTGTACAGAGGGGTGTGGGTGCTGAAATGACATAAGGTTCACAGACTGTCAAGTATTAACTAGTGTTGCACCGATGCCATTTTTTGGCCCCGATACCGATACCTGATACCTGGCTGTGCCGTATCGGCCGATACCGATACCATAATAATGTAAAATAATTGCCATCATGGCTTTGTCAAGCTGCTGCCTACCTTTGTGAAGCAGGGAAAAAATCTAACACAAAGTGAATCCAGTAGAACTTTTTATTGCCTACCAGGAGTGGGTGACAATAGTTGAATAAACTTATGGCTCTCAAAATGGTATCGGTGCCCTATTTGTTGGTACTCGCCGATACCGATACCACCATTTTAGGGCAGTATCGGGACCCCGTACGATCATGGTATCTGTATCGGTGCAACACTAGTATTAACACTGAATTTGCTAGCACAACATACATTACAGATTTGTTATCAGTGTATCAACCATCCAGACCTCTCGGGTCTTCTGTCTTAAGTCTATTCTGCAAACCAACAACCAAGCATGGATTAACAGTACCAGCTCTGATGCTCCTCTAATCTGCAAAAAACTCCCTGAAAACTGTAAAAGGGCTAAAACCCTATGATGTTTTAAATCAACAATAAAACTAGAGTAGCATGCAGCTGGGCTATCTAAACATTGTTAGTGAAATTTGCAGTCCAGCTTTCTTCATTTTATAATTTTATCATACATTTTAAAAAATTATGTTAACATTTAAAATTTAAGATAATTCAAAATTCATTTTCCTTCTCTTTAATTATTCATGTCTGTTAATTATTTAATTACCTATGTGTTACTGTGAAGTTTTTTACTAATTAGGTTTCTTTTTTCCTGTGCAGCGCTTTGAATTGACTTGATACTAAACATGCCTTGCTTATGGGTGTGTGTCTAAGTGAGATGCTTCTATACCTGAAAGTGGGGCTACACTGACGCAAGCAAGTGTCAGTGAAATAGCTGTGTACTACTATGTGCAGTTGAATTCAGTTGGAAAAGTCAAACAGCACCCAATAGGCTCACTTTATGAAGTTTAACTACAAAAAAAAAGGATTTCTGGGTTTATAAACTTACATGTATAGATGTAAACTTTAGAGGAAGCTCTATAACGCCTTTGCTTCTTTCAAATTTTGTGTTGTTGCAGAAAAAAAAACAAGAAGGAAATTTTAGAGAAGCAACTAACCTAACAGTCATGTTTTTGGACTGTGGGAAGAAGTCTGAGTACCCAGAGATAACCCACGAATGCTCAGGGAGAACATGCAAACTCCATGCTGAAAAAGCCCAGGCCGGGAATCGAACCCAGAACCTTCTTGCTGAAAGGCAGCAGTGCTAGCCACTGTCCCACTGATCAAACAATCAAAATGTTTGGACTAATGAGACGAGAATGGCAAAGATTAAATACATGACCATTTCCTTTTTATTTGTCCTCAGGGGGAACAAAGACTGTTAATCTATAAAGCCTTTAAAAATGTAGAGCTCAGTCTGCTGCTTCTTGTTGTATTTATATTATCTGCTCATATTTCTGTTCCTAAAAATAGTTTAACTGATGCTATTGTTGGTTTCTACAAAGCAGTCTTGATACGTGTGAGCAGTGTAACTGTATGAAAAAAAACAGACTCAAATCAAAGCCGTTCAAACAGAGATGAGTGCTAGCAGTTAAAGATGAGAACTTTTGGGAAAATCAATCAGCTGCTGATGGGTACCATCGTGATCAGTTTCTATCTCCTCATCTCACACCAGACTGCAAGGATTAGCCTTACTGATTTCTATAAAACAAAAAGTACAATAATTTCTGAAAGCATTATTAAATACATTACTCCTAGCCTTTCTATCGTATATTAAGGGCAAAGAAAGCAACTGTGTGAGGAAGCAGCTGTAAAAGAGATTGGGAAATTGGGAGTCTTTTACAAATCTAGGAGCTGACAAAACTATCTCCATGCCTGGCAAACAGCAAATATATTTTAGTTTTTTGTTTTGTGTTACAGATGTTACTACATCGCTATTTGAGGATTGTGGTTATGAAACACTGTGTAATTTTGTTTTCTCTTTCCTGTCAGTGTGCGGTTTGTCTGATGCAGTCAGGCTGCCATGGCTCTGGTTCAGCCACTACCTGTGAGTGACCATTCCAATCAAGGTCTTGAACTCCAGCAGCGCCGGCCGCCATCATCTAGCTCCCCCACGGACCCCTGCTCTGTCCCTTGTGGCGCCTTCAGCACCGATTCAGCCATGGGTTCAGTCAGCAGTCTCATATCAGGCAGGACATATCAAGAGAGGCATTGCAGGGCTGGCAGTGAATTCCCACACAAGCCACGGCGCTCCACACCAGCTACCAGCTGCTTTCGCCTACAGGATAAGAGCCTTCGCAGTGGGAGCTCCCTGGAGCAGTTGCTGGTAAATGGCAATCCAACACAGCCGCAGGCACAGGTTCTACCTCCACCACTGCCCACCAAAAAGCAGCCGAGACCCGGAAACTCTGCCGGTGCAGCTGGAGATGGAGGGGTTGCTGGAGCAGCAGTGAGTGGAACTAATGCGAACTTTGGATATGTTGGTGAAGAAGTGGTTATTGGAGACTGGAATGACAACCTGGTGCTAACCGTTGCGAGTCCCTGCAGCGACCAAGAGGACCAAAAGGAGAGTGGGACTGTTAATGGCAACATTGGTGGACCTCCACCCAAACTGGTCCCAGTGTCTGGACAGCTAGAGAAGGTGAGACGAAGGTAGAGGTTTAATAGTTATTGATCTCTGATGTATACTTGAAAAAAGTAAACAAATTTCTTTTAGAAAAGGAAAATGCAGACATGGAACATTAGTGTGTAAATTAACATTTGATGAATCTGCTACTGAAAAAATAAATTTAACATTAATATGTGTTGGAAAAAAAGGTCAACCTTTTCAATTAACTTATAGTATTATCAATACAGGGTCACCTGCCTCTACAGTGAAACAATCAAAATTATTAGCATTTTAAAAATCAAGTTTCTAAAACAAAAAGCATCATGTCATTCAAATAAACAGGACTCTTGCAGTACAGTTAAATGGCAAGTTGCATTATCTTTGTTTTTGCTTTTTATAAAAAAAATGAACAAAAAGCTGTAAAAAAAAAAAATAATAATAATAATCCACAGAGCACAACCAAAAAATATATCTCCTCTAAATACTACAAACAGGAGAGTATCTGAAATGTTAATGTTGATATCTGGTGGAACCTACTCTCAAAGATATTTTTATTTGGGAAAGCACGCTGCTTCTGCTCTTGGGAATCTGCTAAATATATATTTTTTTAGAATCTGTATGTTCTAGTAGAAAATTATTCAATTACTCATTTAGTTTGCCATTATTGCATCAATTGATTCATGTAGATACATTTGATAATTGTTTCAGCCATCATAACAAATTAGAATGTCAGTTTACCTCACCAGAGGTAACCTTTTGTGTTGTAAACACAGTGCTAAATAACAATCAGCAGTATTGATAAATGTTCTTCAGTATTTGAATTAATTTGCACAGATGGAATAATGCCCAACTGCTGCATTTTTCTCCTGTTCATGGAACCACTGTTACACACAAAACTCTTAATACAATTATACAAAAAGGTAATTGTATTTAGTAATCCGCTCTAGAACTATTATATAGCAAATCAGTGTATTCTTCTTCTCTTTATTACTGAAAATTTCCCCTTTGGTTTCAGCAAAGATTAGTCTGCAGAGTTCAGTGTTTTTTCCATACGATCCCTACCAGACTGCTGACAGATGATGTTCACAGAGACCTGCTATTTATGGCATCATTGTTCAGACTCAGCAGAACATGAAACGCAATTCCAGAGATCTTTGATGGTCAATAACTTTTGAGGCCAGGCATTAATAGTCTTGAATTTCCTTCATCCATACACAATCTGTCCTACCAACCTTTCAAACTATTTTTATCTGAGCTTTTTTTTTTCTTGTGTTTCTTGTTGCAAAATTGTTCTGGCTTATTGAACATTTGTAGAAACTTTCTTTTTTGGGGAGGTCTTTCCCCTTTTAAAGGTCTCGAAGGTAAGTCATCTGTCTCCATTTAACCCGGTCTTCCACATCTTATTCTCTCAAACCATAATATTTTAATGTCTTATTTCATTTCATCCATAAATGTCCTCTTTGGTATTCCTCTACTGTAGGCCTCCTTTCTGGCAGTTCCAGTCTCAGCATCTATCTGCTTAGGAACCATAAGTAGACCATAAACCATCCCTGCTCTGCAAGTCCAGCTACTCAGCCTAGCCTCTCTGGCTTGTGGAGAAAAAAAACATCACCTGTAAATAAAGGACTATAAATATTTGAGAATTCAGGCAGTTTAGTAACTTTAAGATGAAGAAGAGTAACAGTCTTAAAAAGGCTCTTAAGGAGTCAGTTCACATCACTGTTTTTTATACAGAGGTTGTTTACAGTGATTAAACTTTCCTGTCAGGGACATACATCTGCTCTGCCATTACATATTAACAAGCACTGTACAAAAGCTATGTTTGCTTTCTCAAAATGTATTGCTACCTTGAAAGTTCTGATAAAAAGACAGAGAAAATAAACAGATTATCGTTTTTGTATGGACATGAGTTAAAGGAATAAAACAGAAGATGGGACTCAAAATGTGAAATGTAAAGTTGTCGACAGGAATATTTTGATGGCATCTAATCAGACTGCCTAGCCAAGAGGAAATGTATCACGTTGACATGTGCCTGATGTATGCACTCAGTTCAGCTTATTTAATTCAGAATTATTTGATCCTCATAAGCGTTTGCATGTGCGCCAAACATGCTGTGAGTCGGCATAAACCACGCCTCTCAGGCAGATAAAAATGTCATTTAGAGCTGTAACAAACAAACATTTTAGTAACAGATTATTCTACCGATTATTATCACTATTAATCAAGTAATTGAGCAAATAGGTAAACTTCTGCAGACTGTTAAGCTTCTTTTATAAATAATAGGAATACATGAAAAAATGCAAATCAGTTTTTTTGTTTTTTTTGTAAAATAAAAAGCCATTGCTTAGTGAAAACGGTCATAAACAAACAAAGGTGTATATAGTTTCCCTTGCCTGTGTCATGATCGGTTTAGAGATAAACCCACATGCAGAACACCACTGGAGACTTGGTAAAAGGTTTAACAGAGTTTATTAAAGTTTCACACAAGACAAAAACAAGATTCAGGTTCTGGTCCGGGCAGGATTCTCTGGCGTCTGCAGAGACGGATAGTTGGTTAGCTTGGTATGCAGATGAGTTAAATGGGTTATCAGATATTTCAGTGGATACCTTGAAGAGATCCAGGTTAGTTCTGAGAGAGGGAACCGGTTGGGTCCAGAGACTGTTGGTTCAGCAGAGTGCTTAGGCAGCAGCATCGTCTAGCCTCTGACTTCCAGTGAACAGACCTTGGTTGGAGTGATTAGCTCTTTCCTAAGAGCAGCTGGTGGATTCCAGAGTGAGGTCTATAGGTTTGGCTCTCTAGGGCAGGCAGGCAGATTCAGGTTAAGCTCATCCAGAGCTTCTCTCGAGAGACTGGTTTCCTAGGAGCGAGAAGACAGAGGCAATTAGAATTTGGTTTCTCTAAGAAGATAACGATTAGTAAATTCAGAGGCTCAGGTTCGCTAACCAAACTTGGCTAACACTGCGGCGTCGAAGGAAGGTCTGGCAGCTGCTTATAAAGGCAGGTCTGCTGATGAGCTGATGAGCGTCAGCTGTGCTGGAGGGCTCCAGCCCAGGAGGATCCACAGCACACTCTGCTGGAGAAAGTGGAGAATCTCCAGATCCCAACAGCCTGTATTCTGAATTTTTTTTTCAGTTTTGTTCTGTTTTGGTAAAACTAGATAACATAAGGATCAATCATCAAAAGGCTAAACTGATGATTTATTACTACTATAATTAAGGCATTATAAAAGCTGCACCAACCTGTTTTCACATAATGGTATGATCCCTTTTGCAGACCACTCAAAAGAAAGTTCTACCGGACACAAAGGTGGGGTCTGAGTAGTGATGGAGAATGGTGCGTTCACACCAAAAGGCCTCTAGCTCAGCCTCCTGTCTCCTTCAGTGCCTCTTTCTCCAAACCATAGAACATCACTGATCTCTATTTTGTAGACACATTCTACACTCTCCATTGCTCTAGATTGTTGACTGTGGTACTTGAAATTCTCCACTTCCTTTTTATCTACTCTATATAACCTCACAGCTCCACTTGAGGTCCTCTCATTCAAACATGCATTTTGCCCTTTTACACACAACCTTCCTTATTTCCCTTTTCCAGGACAAACCTGCATTTCTCCAGTTTTCCCCAACCTGTTTCCTGCTCTCACCATAGATCACATTGTTATCTGCAATTATTGATTCCTGTCTAACCGCATTGCCAACCACTCCAGCAGCACAGTAAAGAAGAAGGTTCTCAGCCAATCCCACTTCCTCCTTAAACTCTTGTCACACCCACAACATGCCTCAAATACATCCTGCACTACTGTAACAAGGTTCTCTGCTACTCCAACACTTCTTTACACATAACCACAGCTCCTCTCTTGGTACCTGACCGTATGCTTTCCTTAGATCTACAAAGAAGCATGGTGATGAAACCATACTGCTGCTCATAGAGGCTTACTTCTTTCCTTAGTGTGGCTTACACTGCTCTTCCCGTAACTTCATTATATGATTCGTCAGCTTTATTATTCTGTGCAGTAGTTGCCAAAACTTTCAACATCTCTCTTGGTCTTAACAATCTCTCCTCCATTTAACAAGCTAGTCAAAAACTCTCCTGCTGTCTCTTCTAGCTCTTTATTATCAGGAACAACCAAATTTCTTCTTCCACCACCAAGTCACTGTATGTTTTGTTTAGCTTCATCTTCCTTTACCTCTATGCTGCAGCTTCTGTTATCCCTGGCACCTATTTCTCTTTAGTCCTTCCTGTGTCCCTCTTCCTCTTTGCTGATTTCTTCCTCTGTACAATCTCCTGTTCTTCCACCACCGCCTTATCAATTTCCTTCAAGAGAACATACCAAGTGCTCTCCCACCTCTCTCCTCAATAGTATTAGCTATATTGGTCCTGTCATTTGGCAGCAACTCCTGGCTGCCTAGAGCCGATCTCAAAGCAAAACAGCTTTCTTTATTTTTCTGTGAATCAACTTCTACCTTCACTCTGCTTTGTCCACTTCACCTTCTTCACCAACACTCATTTCACCATCACACCCTGTGCTGCCTGGCAGCATTCTTACCATCCCATATTTTAAAATCACCATTATTTTAGATTATATTCTCATACTGGGTGTAATCTATCTGCGTGCCCCTACCAGTACTCCCTACTGCCATTCTCTTGCACCGTATAGGCCTATGTGAAAACTGCACGGTTATAGTTATAATGCTGGTTTATCATGTCATATGTTTAAATAATTAGTGTTAAATTTCTTGATCAGATAGTGTTATTGTCACCATTTACAAACATTTGTTTTTAAAGTAAGGGACCAAACTTTTCAAATCAAGAATGTCTGCAGGAAAACAAATATTAGTTACACAATTATAGGCATTAATCGAGATGATGGGGGATGAGGAGGGATGGCATTCCCCTTCTTAAAAAAATCTTAAAAATCATGCCCCTTCTTAAATGACCATCCCCCCATACCATCCCCTGGGACTTTTTTATTACTGAATGTGTAAATGTCTACTATATATTAACAGTAATTGAAATAATATTGCCCTTTCAATATTTGGCAGTCTGTGCGCTTACGAGTAGCCTGAGCAAAAATGCGATTTCATTTTTAAACCTCAGTCGCGCAACCAGCGGAGCCGGTGTAATGTGAAAAGACGACTCATAATGCAGACCCATTATGGAGATACAGTACAGAAATTTTAATAGAATAGACATACATTATTTACTAAATTTACCTGCTCTTAATAATGTTTTATATTTTTATAGCATGTCTAGGGAAAAATAACAATTCAAGAAATCTTTAATCACATTTTGTCAAGTCAAAATGCATTTAAAATATCTTAAATGACGTCATCTAATTTGTCATTTAAAGTGTCACACATCCGGAATTATAATTAAGATGTTTCAGTTAATTTGGACTAGTACAAACTATATATTTTTAATATCCGAATTATGAAATATCCCCCTAGTGCTGTCACTGAGCTGTCCTAACAGTTTCCTGCAGAATTTTGCAGATATTCATTTGCAATGTTTTGTGAGCTTTTGTTCTAAATCTTAATAGATTCACTGCCAAAGGATTTTTCAAAGTAAAATCAAAGAAGTGGCCAACCATGACTATAAAGCTGCTCCCAGTGGGAAATGTGTCCCTAACTCTGTAGGGGGAGTGATAGCCATGCCAGTCCAGGGACTGACTGCAGTTCTACTGTAAGGTGCCTTGGTCAAGGTCAATGACCGGTGTACCTGACATGTAACAACCATACCATGCATGTTGCTTTAGGTTAATAGACTATATTAATGATGCTATGCATATTTCTAAAGCTCAACTACTGATTAGAGGATAATGAAAATATATGGCAGAAATAAATAAGAAAAATATTAGATTCAGAATTATATGAAAAATACATGTTTGTGTGTATATCTTAAAACGATAACAAGTTCATTAACAATCTTAAAACTAGTTTTAACTGATTTCTGTTCAGTTTTTAATTACCCATCTTAGGTTTGACTAATGTATGAGGTCACCATCGCGATGACTTAAAAATGAGTGAAAATACCTCCTTTATAATGAGCAGGAAGATGTTATTCAGATGCCAACTTACACATGATTTGTCAACTTTGAAATATTTTCTAATGATGATGACATCATACACATAACAGAGGAAGCAATTATTTTTCTTTATCGTTGAGTGATGTCAGCCCAGTGGAATTCTGCCTAAGACCAACTGGCCATATTGGTCATTAAAAGACAATCGGGAGTCACTCTAAAGTAAAGATGTAAAGGATATATGTTTTTATATTTGGTTTTGCAAATAAGCATGCTACACTTTTTGTAATTATGTTTTAAAATTGATGCCGTTTCATTTTGTGTCACAGTTATAAACTATTCAATGTTTTATTCAATGACTTCAGTAAAAAAAAATTCCTGTTCCTTTAAGAGTAATGCTTTACATTGTGTGCGTTGCAAAATAGCACAAATTAGCTTTTTATAAGTCATCAATAATACATTTTAAGTTTTCCTTTTTCCTTTCAGAACATGGAGAAAGTGTTGATCCGTCCCACAGCATTCAAACCGGTCATCCCCAAGAATCGTCATTCTATGCAGTACCTGTCTCCACGGCCAGGAGGCAGCAATCTGTCTGAGAGTCAGGCCAGTCTAAACCTCCTGTTGCCCCTTGGCGCCCCCAACAGCTCCAGTGGTACCCACAGTAACGCTGGAAGCTGCAGCTCCAGCTCTGAAGGGAAACCCAACTTGTACAGTGGATGTCGTAATGCTCGCAGCAGTCAGTCCTGCTCCATGTCAGATTCAGGGAGAAACTCCCTTTCCAGCATCCCTACCCAAAGCAGCACAGTGTACAGTTTGGCCCCCAGTGAGGGCTCCAGCTCGGGTTCTGGTTCGGGGGGCCCGGCGGAGCCTGTGTCAGCCCTGGTTCGCAATGCTCCAGGAACAGGTGGAAGCCATGGTCATAGCAATTCGGACAGTGGACGTTCCTCGTCCAGTAAAAGCACGGGCTCAGGGTCACTGAGAGGTTGCGGGCAGCCCCTCTCTGACAGTGGGTCTTGTGGACACTCACCACCGCCTGTGGAGGGATATGAGGTGGTGGTGAAGGAGCTGGAGGAGAAGCTGCGGGAGCGAGACCTCGAGCTCCAACAGCTCCGGGAAAACCTTGATGAGAATGAAGCAGCCATCTGCCAGGTAGGGAACGATCCTCTCATCATAAGATCAAACCCCATTTAGAGTATTTAAAATAGAGGCTATGATGAGAAGTTGGTCCAAGAAGAAAACAACCTCTGATCTCTCATTCTTACATTTCGCTTTGACAGGTTTATGAGGAGAAGCAGAGACGATGTGAAAGAGAGATGGATGAGCTGAGACAGAGCTGTGCAGTCAAGATGAAACAAACCTCTCAGAAAGCTCAGAGAGCACAGCAGGTGCTGCAGTTACAGGTATAGCAAACACTCAGAAACAGTTTCATCTTCTATACAATCCTTTGCAAAACTATTCATACCTCTTTTCCCCTTTCTTCATATTATAACTGCAAGCATTAATGGACTTTATTGGGGTATAAATCTGCATAACATATTTGTGGAGCATAATGAAAAAATAATTAATGTATTAAAATCATTTACAAAGAATTCAGGTCAGCCCTCCAAATACTTTTTAGAATCAGCTATTAGTACAAGTATAGCTGCAGAGTGTATGGGGTATGAGCTTCACACAATAATGAAGTGTATTTTCTGCCTGTAAGCAATACTTTTCATGATGTGCCATATATTTTTAAATGTGTCGTTTTGATGCTTAGGATTGATGTTCTGCTGGAAGAATAAACTTTGTCCCTGTTTCTTTAGCTGGTTTGCCTCCCAAATTAGTTTGTTTTCATCTCCATCCATTTTCTAATCTGCTAGCCTGATTCATATAACTCATTTGTGCTGCATATCCAAATCTATATATCTGCTCCTTCCCAGGTATTCCAACTACAGCAGGAGAAAAAGAAGCTACAAGAAGACTTCTCCTCTCTGCTGCAGGACAGAGAAACGCTAGAGAGAAAGTGTGCCACCATTCAGAGGGAGCAAACGCAGCTGGGCCCCCGTTTGGAGGAAACAAAGTGGGAGGTGAGCCAGGGCCTGACTCTGGAAAGTTCAGGCTTTAAACTAATTTGAGTGGCATTTGCAACCTTTGCAATGTCTTATTTTTCTGTCTGAACATTTTGTTCATGTAATCCCTAGCAAGTGTTTCTTTCAGGAGGAAGCAAATCCAAATATTTGAGCATAAAATGAGTAACATATAGACGTTTATAATGTTTCTGCCTTCCTCTCACTCCTTTCCTGCTGTGCATCAGGTGTGTCAGAAGTCAGGAGAGATCTCGCTTCTGAAGCAGCAGCTGAAAGAAATCCAGTCTGAGCTCAGTCAGAAAGCAGGTGAGATCGTGGTACTGAAGGCCCAACTGAGGGAGGCTCGCTCAGAGCTGCAAGCCAGCCAGGCTCGAACCCAGGAGGCCCAGACTGCAATGCGGACGCGATCCCTTGAGCTTGAAGTTTGTGAAAACGAACTCCAAAGACGCAAGAGCGAAGCTGAGCTTCTGCGGGACAAAGTGAGCCGTCTGGAGGACGAGTCAGTCCGGCTCCGCGACACTCTGTCGAACCACGGTGGAAACCCGACCAAGAAGGGACTGGTCATGGGCCTTTCATTCCAACAGGGGAGAGTAGTGATGGGAAGGGGGGGTCCCAGCCCCTGCCTGTACCCCAATGGAGAGGAAGGTTATCTGGTGTGGGGAGGAGAAAGCGATGAAGCCAAGGCTCAAAGGCAGAATGCAGAAACACTGATGGGACTTCGACAGCAGGTATGTTTTTTTTGTTTGTTTTTTTACTTTTTCTTGACAGAGATTAAGAAAAAACGATTACAAAGGAGAATATTGTGAAGTATTTTAGGAAACTGCCTTCTTAATGCAAGTCTATTTTTACATGGCATCTATTGAAACAATTGGAATCTCAGGCAATAGTAGACAAATGGGTCCAATCCATGTCAACAAATATATGTTGGGATCAGTCCACTAAAATCCAATCATGTAGACAATTAAAATTTCAATGTTACATTATCTAAAGTTTGTTTTGGATTTATATTATGTGTAGATTTTGTGTAAATCTTTGAAAAAAACTTTTAAAATAACACTCTGAAAGGCTTATGATTGACACCTATCTCTAGGTACGAAACGCTGTAAATAAAGCTGCATTTGTGAAAGCCAAGAAAAGGGAGATGTTGATATTATTTCCAGCAGAATATTCTTATTCTTTTCTCCTGTTAGCGCTTCCTTAGAAAGATGTGAAACTTTAGCAGCTCAGTATTCCAGTACATGTAATTTTGTTACTAGTATAGCGCTCTTTCTATTTCAGGCTGTCACACACCTGAAGTCCCAGGAGGCAAGTTTAGCTTAGCGGGTGTTTTTGTTTGTATCTTTCACCACATAAACAGTAAGCCTGTTTTTTGTTGTTGTTTTTTTTCAGGTTGATCGACTCAAAGCTGAGCTCATGTATGAGAGAAGAACTGGTGAGGAGCAGCGGTCACGTTTTGAGGAAGAGAGAAGGGTGTGGCACGAGGAGAAAGAAAAAGTAAACCTCAACTGTTTCTGTTTCACACATTGACAGTTATTTCCTTTATGATTTTATTGACTTTTTTCTTTTACCGATAATCAAGGTAATCCGCTACCAAAAGCAGCTGCAGCAGAACTACATTCAGATGTATCGCCGCAACCGGGATCTTGAGCGAGTGATGAGGGAGCTGAGCCTGGAGCTGGAGAACCGGGACATGGAGGACTACGAGGTCCGCAGTGGCAGCAATGACATCCACTTTGAGGAAATCACTGCCACAGAGATCTAAACACAGCACATCATTTGTTCACAAAAAATGGAGGAAAACACTCAAGTGTCCCAGAAGATGCAAACCAAACATTGAACTGTGAACCAAATGCTGCACTAGCTTCAGTATGGTGTTACCTGGAGCGCTGACCGAGCTCTCACCACTGTTAAAATCGGGGACGTCTCCTTAAGGTGCATTGTTACTTCCTCTCATATGGCATCTTCTACAGCGTTTCTATTAGGTTTTTACCAGCACAAAGACTGCTTCCTTCCTGAGACCAAAAGCAGTGAGGTGTTTATCATTCTCAGAATATATTTAAATCAGGGTATTTAAATTAAAAAGGAACCTAAAGCAAAAAAAAAAAATAAAGAAAGAAAGATATTAACTATTCCCTACAGAACAATCTCATGACACAGCACTTAAGCATCTTAACAGCTTGCAGTATGAAACACTGGCCACCAGCATGTACAGTAAATCACGAGGCATTAACACAGCAGTTCATTTAGCAGTGACCAATTTAAACTGTGGCGCTACAAACAACCAACTTCACATGCTCAACAGTTTTTCCCTTATTTGCCAGACTGTAAATAAGTTGGTAGACACGTTTGTACTTTAGGTGTTTCGGCTGCAGTTTGTTTTATTACAGCAAATGTGTGCTAACCTGTCTTTCCAGAGAGAAGCAACATAATAAATCATCTCTGCTTAGGTCACTGTGAGAAAAATGGCACGATTTCACCTGAGATTTCCAGCTTTGTTTTGTTTGGGATTTTTCGGTTTATCTGCAGAGGAAAATCTGCAAAATCACGCCAACTAATATTAACTTTGACGTTGGAGCACTGGGTTTGCTTGCTTGTGGACATATTGTTCTGTCCCTTCAGACTCTAGGACTAGATAAAAGCTAATTCTCCCTTTGAACTTGTTTTTTTTTTATAATCAGTCATACTGTGCCTCAAAACTAGTTCAGACAATTTAGCAAGCCCATATTTAGCTCGGGGAATAGGTGAAGCATGGTTGATATTACCAAGGTTTATCAAGATTTCTCTTCTTTTAATTTTTTTTATATCCTATTCCAACTTTCTGCCTCATGAACTAGTTTTTATTCTTCCCACTGATTAGTTAGTTATTCAGAATGAAATTAAACCTAAACTGTGATTAAAATAAAAAAAAAAGTACAGGTTTACAGTCTGTTGTGGCATCAAAGATTTAGGCCAGGCATCCCCAAAGTCGGTCCTCGAGGGGCGCTGTCCTGCAGGTTTTAGAGGTTTACCTGCTCCAGCACCGCTGATTTACATTGATAGTTGATAACAGGCTTTTGCTGAACTGCAATCATCAGAATCAGCTGTGCTAAAGCAGAGAAACCTCTAAAACCTGCAGGACAGCGGCCCTCGAGGACCGACTTTGGAGATGCCTGATTTAGGATATGACTACAGTAGTTTATGTTTTCTCTGTGACTCCCACATTGCAGGTTAAAACTTTACACATGGAATGGATCAAGCAGGGTAACATTCATACCATTGCTCCTGATTCTTCTTTTTCCAAAAACCCATTTAAATAATTATCATAGAATCAGACACCCCTAAAATAACAGTCGCAGTTTATTTCTCAAAGCTTAAAACCGTATTGCTTTCCTATTACCGCTCTAGATGTCGTTACTAGCAAATCAAAGCCAAAAAGGTGTAAAAGTCTTCCAAGTTCCTGCTAGGTGGCCTAATCATTTTTAATAAATGCTATAGGACGTGAGAGTGGCATGTCTGCATGTCCATGTTCATAGGAGATTCCTGGAAAAGCAGGCATCAGGTGATGTGAACGTTTGCAAGGGTGTGTGCCTCTGCATTGTTTTCTGCAGGCTTTTCATGGAGGTCGAGGAAAATTCTCACAGTAAACGCGGGGCTGTGTGTTACACTGAGCATAGAGTTATACGGCTGCTGAGAACTTTATTTTACAAAGAGTCTATATTAAGGAATGATATTCTAGATAAATGGGAATCTATAAAACGGAGGAAAAGTTGTATATTTTTTATATATGTGTAGCACCTCAATATATTTTGCTGTATTACTGATGTGGATTAATGTAGATGATATACCAATGTTTCAGTTGATGGATCAGTTGCAAACAGAAGAATCTGCAGACAGAACGCGTGCACCTAATACTGTAATGCATGACAAGTTAATGTTTACATTATATATTCTGTGTTTGAAAATCATGCATTCTGAGGATGAGCAAACTTGCTTAAAACTAGGTGACAAACCTGAAGGGAGTATTTTTATGTTTTGTTACATTTTGGCCATCTTTAGCTTTCTATCTTTGAGTTGATTTTCAGTATCATAATGTTTATTGACTCCCTGTTGGAATTTGTCAGAGCATTTGTTAGTAAATGCAGGATACCAGTGTTATTTTTAAGGGACACCTTTATTAACATGAGAGCAGAACTGAAGCAAGCCAAAGGAGTGTTAATTTCCAGTCATATTTCATTTTGTTGCACATTATAGCCATTTCTATTAAGGTTCATCAAACACTTTCACTGTAACCAGACGTAGACTGTTACTCAGCACATCTGCACAACAACAAGCACAAGAGGCTTCTGACTCATACGCTTAAAAGTTTTCTCATATCACAGCTTTATAATATAACCATATATATATATATATATATATATGGTTATATTATATATAACCATTATAATGATCTTCTGTGTAAATATGGAGAACATCTAGCAGTATAACAGCATCATCATCTTTTATTTAGACAAAATATCTATTTCCAATGTAGCCACTGCGACTAGACCAAAGCAACGTAACATTTCTATTGTTTGGGCTTTTTTGTGACATTGTTTCATTCTTTTATGAGCATTTATTTTGCATTTTTAATTTCTATGCATCGTCATGAACTCGTAAAGTATTTAGCTGTCTGTGTATATTTTTATGTGTACATTACTTGTACAGATTACAGTGTTTTTAATTAAAGAGCAAGTGGTCACATCTTAAATGTGTGAAGTGATCATTTCTGTGGAGCATAAAAAATGCAAAAACTTACCTTGTTTACATTAACTTAGTTATCTGTTATACAGTTGCTAAACAGCACCAATAAACCTAAAAAATACATATATATATATATATATATATATATATATATATGGGTTTTATCAACAATATTAACAGTATAAATATGATTTAGGTAAATAAAATCGAAATAAATGATTCCTAATTTTTTTAATTCTTTTTATTTCTGAAATGTCCAATATTAGTATGGTTTTTGTGAAGTCAATTGGTATCTATTTTCTTTTTTTCTTCATTTTTTGAAGACAACTATTGAAAGCTGCACAGAACAGTTAAGACTGGTAATTTGCAACATGAAGGTCCAAGCTTCACACTTTGTCTGGGAGTACCCCATCCCCCTACCAACTTCCCCGTTTGCTTTTTCTTGCATTGCATCGTTGGACTAAGTTACTGTTAAAACACCAAATATATGCCAGGGTCTGCTGTGCAAAGACTATCAACAGAGAAGACAGTGGGCAAAGACTATCAACAGAGAAGACAGTGGGCAAAGACTATCAACAGAGAAGACAGTGGGTTTTTGGCTTAAATTAGGGCAGCAGTAGCATAGTTGTTAATACTCTAACAACAGCATGAAGATTCTACGTTAAAATTTCAAGAAAATACCTAGTGATTTTAATTTGAAAAAATGTGAATTATGACACTTTAAAGGAGATATAAAACACAGCATTTAACCATAAATGACACTTTAAAATATATTAAACAGGTTACATAACAATTCACCAAATATGCTTCATAATGTTAAAGGTAAAGATAGCTGCAGAATCTGAAAAGAAATACCAGTTTGTTTAGGGGGTTTTCCAAACAAAATGTCAGCTAGAAGTTTCTCAGCCAACTAAATAACAGATAAGACACTAACTGAACTTCAAGGACTGATAAACACTTACCAGAAGAGCTACGAAGTAGAAAATCATCAGTTGTTGCACAATTCCCTTCAGAATCTCACAAATTATTCTTTATCACTTGTGATCTTTTATTTCTTTGGATACATTTTAATAATCTGTGCTTTCAGCCTGTTAAAAACAACATATACATTAAGTAGCTACTCAAAAATATTGACACACAAGTAACGGCCTTTAATATCAGCCACATGCGTGGGCATAAAGCTGTCACTTTGGAGCATTTATGACTAATACTTTATCAGTGTTCTCCTCCCTCTGCTCTTCCATAGAAATAAGGCACGATGCACAGCACATTCTTCTGCTCTTATCTTCGTTCCCTTGCTCTGATTTAACCCTTGCCACCAGTGTCCAAGTTTTGCATTTCCTATTAATGAGATTTTTCAACTCCTTTACATGTCTAGATTAGCTTTAACCACAGCAGGCTGTGAATAAGCCTTTTCTTCTGAATGCAAAAACTTCTGCCACTGAACCGACAAAGATACAGAGCTGAATATTTTAACCACACACACACACACACACACACACACACCCTACATATCCACTAAAATCAAACTCTCAGGTCGGAGATAATACAGAGCTTTAATCTGGGTATGAATCTATAAATCTCATAACACAAACTGGGATAATCTCCTTCTGGTAGCCTTTCTGATGGCTGCTCACTCTCAGGCAGTGCTAAAAAGTCCCAAATAGGCCTGTTAAACAGTGACAGGCTGTCAATCTAGAGCATGTATAAATCATATAATAAACATTTCCTATACTGTCCTTTAGAAAAACAAGACTTGAATACCATTAGTGCTCATGTAAAACATACGCATTTCATAAAATAAAAAAGTTATCTCACATGTGCATGTGGCAAAAAAAAAGTTTTAAAATAAAAGTCTGCTTCATTAATTTAGTTTCCCTAAGGAGTTGCAGGTTTTGTTGTCATTAACTGGTAAGGCACACAGTGTCTTTACTCAGCAGCTCTCATGCTACTGGTGGGGAGGTGGAGGACCTTTGGGATCTTCACCACAAAAACCATTGGGTCTCTGTCCTTGTTGCTGAAGGAGCGGCGTATAACGTCCACAGCGTGCTGATGAGTCACTCCCTGCAGACTCTCGCCATCGACAGACATAAGCTCATAGCCTGCCTGTAAATGGACAGTCAGGTACAGCATTTATTTAAAAATACAGCTAAAAAGATATTATGTGAGCATTCAGATGTTCTTCATATAACTCTATAAAAGTCTGCATTCTACATAAATATACATAAACATATTCAAACTATGCCTCATGCACATTATAGTCTCCCCTTCAGGACAAGGTCAGTCTAAGAAAACAAAAAGTCTCTAACATCTGGAAATGCACACGTGTAACACGGCATTTGTGCACTGCTTCCTGCAGGATGCAGGGAGACGGCTACAAATCTTCAGAGCTCTGGGCAGACGAACTTCCTCTGATGTCAACATCGTTTGCTGAGGATGCACCTGCCTCACGCGCACAGTCAAGGTTAGCAAGGGTGTTACAGAAAAAGCACACAAGGACAAAGTCCATTGTTACTTGTCGCACAATCAGCTTTTTTCATTCTCTCTTTCCATTATTTATTAGATACGGATCTTATCATGCATATATATAAAATATGGTTAATATATATATATATATATATATATATACTGTACCTCAGCTGGGGGAAAACAATGTTATATTACCTTCAGTACAGACCTAACATAGTTCAAGTGTTATATTAGCAAAAAGCATTTCAAGGATTTAAGAGTGGTCTAGAAAAAGAGACATGGATAGATATACATTTCAGTGAGTTTTTAAAATGATTTTTGAACAAACATTAACAGCTAGGCTGGCCTTAATTCTGTCTGTGTTTCTTTAAGACCTAAGACATGCACCTGAGGTGTTGAACAAAAAAGCACTTTCTCAAAGTCCTCAGCCTATCTCATTCCCAAAGGTGTGGTCAAAAATTGACAGGTGGTTTGTAATGAAAATAAAGGAAGGATTCCAACACTGAAAACAATCCTAAACCTTTTATGCTCTCCTCTTTTTTAGAACAGGTAGATCATGTTCTCGCTCTGATTGCAGATACTGTACATGTTCACACACAAAGAGATGGTAAGAATAAGGAGCAAATGTTAAAACTTAAATCATTGATATGGAAAACCTCATCACATGTTCCAACTTGTGCATATTTAATTCCTTTAAAGTGCATGCTAACTGGCAGCTTGATGACTTATACTGCAAATAAGCCTTCAGTAAATGACTTGGTGTATCAATTGTTTAAGAGAAAATCAAACCTTCAGCTACTATTAAGCAACTGTGCAGGCAATATATTACCAATACATTAGCAAACCAGCACCCATGTACTTCATTAATAATAGAGAAAGTGTGCTACCTGAGATGGCTCTCCACTAATCTTCTCCTCACTGAACACTTTTGACAGCAAGCTACTTGAACTCATAGCCACAGAGCAGAGATCTGATAACTACCTACTAGACACTTGAATCCATGTGGCAGACAAAACATTTTGTTTAATATTATTATATCTAACAGATGGACAAATATTTGATTGCCTTGTAAATGCACTTGGGTGCATGCCTCAAAGTCTTAACAAAATAGAATGGTAAAACAAATATTACCAGATCCCTACCTTTAGAGCCTCATTTGTAGATGCAGCTCCTCCTGGAAAGATTTTCTCAATCTTTATCACAGGCTGGATCTTAGACTCGATACCTCCAGAGACGCTAATACCTGTAGAAGAACCAAAAATAAAATTATATATTGTAATAATACTAAAGTGATTCAAGGTTCTGATTCTTGGAGTAAGAGCATCAACATGTCGCCCATTCAACATGTTAAATCTCTGCAATCACATTTTGGCTGTGAAATTCTCACTACTGTCTTTTATAGATTCAAAGCAGTTGAGTTCCTGCAGCAATCCTCACCTGAATATCGTACACATAGATAATCCTTTTGTCCCAACCTCCTCTCCATTTGCAGATCTATGCAAACTAGTTTAATCTTCTCTATATTTCTATTAATCATGGGAGTAAATATTTCAAACGTTCCAGTTTTACATATAATAGGTCACTGATAATTACAAATTATTTTAAGGGAAGATTTAACATTCCATCAAATCCCATAAACCATAGATCTGACTTCTTTTTTCATGACCCCTGATTTGATCTAATTAATTGTGAGCAATCTCCTGCTGGTAAATATTAATAATTGGAGTTGCATTATAAACATCTAGCATAGTTTACTGTTAAATAAACAGTAAACTATGAGTAGAAAATACTTTAAAACTTTGTCCCTGTACGATAGAAAATGTCCCATAGTAGACCACTCTGTTTTTTGTTCTAATGCGCATATACATACACTCTCTGTTACCTGTCATTGTACCAACAACTCATCCAAAGACTGCAGACATTTTGATGATATGATAATCAGCATATATTCTGCATAACTATTAAGGCCAATGCCCTAAACTGTGCCTGCTTCTTCCACTTAGTAGAAAACCCTTTGCTTGGTTAGTACAGTAGCAGCCATTCAAAATGGCCCTTCCCAGTCTACTTCCCTGCAGCTCCCAGCAAAATCCCCTCCAACTTCCAGTCACTGGACTGACTCCCTCCTTCTCCTGGGCGTGCATTTTTTTTACTCTGACTCCACCCTTTTACTGAATTACAGGGTCTGACCAGGAGATGACGCTTCTCTTAAGATCATAATGTCCACAAATTATGACAGATAGAATATTTTAGTACAAATATTGGATGTTTAAAACTGAATTGTAGGGGACCAGCCAGGAACCAGCCAAAGGCCCATCAAGGAAAGTGGGGACATTTTGAATGGCTACTACAGTAGCAGCTTTGCATATGCTGACAAGTTTGCATGATTTTTTTTTATACAGGCAAACCTTTAGTAAAATACAGCTTAAATTAAAACTATATTCTATCCTCATCTTTTTCTTCAAATCAAAGGTAAATATAATTTTAGATGCTGGCATTGCAATTATCTTTACTTGTCTACAATGTAAGTTGTATTTACCCAGTGATTGCTTGGCCTTAGGGATGGTCAGAGTTGTAATTTCATACTCCTCGGTTGGTGTAGGTTCTTTTCTTTCTTGACCATTTTGAAAGTGTCCATTTACCTGCAGGCTACGTTCCATGCCCAAAGAGGGGCTTTTCTCTCTTCGGGGGATAAAAACTTCATCTAGAGGGGTTCTTCTCCTCTCCTGTGAGGGAACCCGCACACTGACCTCAGTGTAGCCATCCTTCCGGCTCTGTCTGCCGTATATGCTGTCAGGACTCCCCTCTTTCCTGCCCCTGCCATGGCTGTTCCTCACAGGTGACCTCCCACGCTCTGGAGTGGCATCTCCACAGTCTGATACAGACAACAAAGATGCCTGGTCGTACCTCAGTGTCCCATTCTCTCTCCTGTTCGGGAAGCGGTGAGGTTGGTGTCCACGCTGGGTGTTGTAAGGAGATCCATTAAGGAGGAAGCTATGACTGGGTGAGGGGCTTGGAGTGCGTGAACGTGCAGTGGAAGATGTGTAGTTATCCACAGGGACATCCAGCAGAGGGGTAAAGGTACGAGAGGGCGGCAGGTAACCTGAATGTTGGTCGGCCAGACGAAGTCTCCCAAACTCTTGGAGTAGCTGATGCTCCTGTTGAGTATCATGAACTGGCTGAAGGTGAAATCCACCCCTGTAATCTGAGGAATCATAATCACAGTAAAAACCTGTTCATATCCTCCTCAAAACTTGTTAGAATTTTTAAAAGTTTGAGATATTTGCTGCAAAAGGGAATGACTTAATTAAAAATGCTTACTAACCAAACCTTTTGCTGATAGCAAATGTATCTTCATTATTATAATATCTAACCTCTGTGTGCAGCTGTTGCAAGCTGACACCATTAGTAAAAAATAGGAACATTTATGTTTATGTTTGGGCACCAGCAACCCCGCTTGGGATAAGCGTGACAGAAAATGGATGGATGTTTATGCATTTAGCAGACGCTTTTATCCAAGCCACTTAGGGAAAAAGGGGGCTTTTCACATACCATGTTTATGAGGGATGAAAATCACTTCAGCAAATAGAGAAATAGGGGAGGACAACACACAAAGAGGAGCAGGCGAATAACTTTCATACCTGGTACTGGAGTGATGAGGTAACGCCGAGGGGTTCCACTGCGAGGTGAGCGAAGAGCTGGAGAGCGTACTAAAATAAAAAAAAATAATAAAAAAAACTGTTATATTCAGTATACCTCTAACTATGAGTAACAGGTTTCGTCATACTGAGTTTCATTCAGAGTTTACATTGATTTTTAGGATATCAGTAGAAAAAAATACTGAACATTTTTTCGCTTACTAGAACGACTCTTGAGAATGTCATAGGCTTCCAGCTCAAACGGCATCACCAGGCTGTCAAAACGACCCAACTCAGTAGTGGGTATCAGCATTCTGCAGGAGACAGTATCAGAGCCTGTCAACCCATATTTACACAGTATGTGATGCTTCAGGATCAGAGAGGATTGTATGCACACCTTATTTCTCTGAGTAGAAGCAGCTTCTCTGGTCGATCCAAGATTGCCAGCAGAGGGCGTATCAAATCTTCAATCACATTGTCAGACAAAAACTGCAAGGAATGGAACCCAATAAAAAAAAATGTGCTTAACAAGGTTTTAGAAATTCCATACACAAATGTTAAACTTTAAATCATATTTTGAGATATCCAGCTATAACAGGGAGATTTGGTGTCTAAAAGTTATTGGACCAATGTAGGAAGAAGAGACACTGCAGTTAGTGTGCAGTTTACTTTTTCTTTTTTTACTTTTATTGATTTGTCTACAAGAGAGATAATTCTACTGGATGTCCTCCAGAGAAAGGTGAACCTCTTATCTGCATTTATTTTTTTACATTATTTCCACAGGGAGGGGCCCAATAGCCCACTATGGTCCACGATTGGTCTTTAAACAGTACGATAAGAGGTAAGTCACTCTCTGCTCCAAACAGATTGGATGTCCTCCAATGTAAAGCAGAGCTCACTGCAGATTAGAGAGTAAAAAACACTGAAGGATTGTCCCCAGAATGATAATTGATACTAATTCTAAACGACTGGTCAAATCCATCTTTTGTTCCAGCTGCTGCAAGACACGTCTTTCTCTGAAGAACAACTTCTGACACAGCGGATAACATTGCATAAGATTACAAAGAGAACATCTGATGTTACAGGTAAATCTCTCAGAGCCAAAACACACAAAAGAGGTTGTTAATGGGTAATCCTAGCTCACCCGCCGACAATGTCTCATAACTGCAGCCACCTCGTCTGGACTGAGCAATTTCTTTGACATGTTCTCCACATGCTGCAGCGTCTCATGATGGGGAAGTGGGCTGCCTGCACGGGATTCCCTTGGGGATGAGAAGAGCTGGAACGGACGACTGCGATCGTTTTCTAGGAATGAGGTTTTATGGTTTATTGGTCAATATTAGTTTTGCCCTGAGGGGGAAATAACAGCACAGCATGCTCAAAGATCAAAGAGTAAAATCAAAGCACCAGAAAAATACAGGACAGGGTAAAGAAAGAAACAACACATGCATCAAAAATACAACGTGCAGAAATACAGTTAAGAGAGGAAATAGTTTGATGTTATGATGCATAACTACAGCAGCAGGTAAAAAAAAGACTCTTTAACTTTTGTTTTTTTACTACAGACACCTTATACTGAATGCTTGAGGGAAGAAGATGGAAATCTACTCAAAATATGACAATTGTTGCTCTGCTCAGTGCCTGTCTATTAAACATGTGCTTTTAAGTAAACTTGCATGAAAGCCAGTAGTGGAAAGCAACAAAGTGCATTTACTGGATTACTATACTTAACTACTTTACTTTAGTATTTTTTTGTTCGGGGAGGTTGTACAAGTATTGCACTTTCTCCTCCTCTACATATGAGGAAGCTGCTAGTTCCTAGTTCCTTTTGGCTCAGCTTAGCTTTGTAAGCTGCTGCTGCTGCTTTTTCTCTCTCTTGAAATGCAACTACAACATGCAAGATAGCAGTCCTTGGGACTGAATTTGGACATCGCTTTTTCAGGGATTCGCATGATATTCCGCAAATATGAAAAACTCAAGGCAGATATTATTTGTTTACAAAGCTACCATGTGGCCAAGTTGTTCTCAAAGCTGAGTTGCGGTTTCTTTGTAGTTATATATTTAAACTTAAACCTCTATTCCATAGTGTGAGGAGAACCAAGACACTCCTGTTTTATTTTTGGTTTGTTTTTATAAAAGAAATAATAATCAAAATAGCTGTCCTTTGTTTTTTTGTGGCATTTTTAGACAGAAGTTCTTTACAGGTGTTATAGAATCTGTAGCAGTGTTCTACGTATCAATACATCAGGTGGTTTCTGAAAGTTACTAGGTTCTTTAAAATTACTTGTTACTTATTTTACTGAAATGTACTTTGTAAGGATCTTTATTTTTGAATACTTAACTTTAAATGCATGTACTTTGGAATACTTAAGTATTTTCACAAGTGAATACTTCAATACATTAACATCAGTGGACGTTGGACCGAGTAACTTTTACTTGTAACTGAGTACGATTTGACAATGAGTATCAGTACTTTTACTCAAGTACTACTGTTGAGTAGTTCGTTCAACACTGCTGACAACTGAGCATTACAAGACATTTCAACATTAGGCAAGATGTGCACATCTGAGAAGCATCATGCAAAGATTTCCACACTTTGATTTCCAGTTTGAAGACTATTTTCACTATGTAAACCTGATAGGAAAGAATTTGGGTGTGACAGCATGCTCACCATTAGGATGATGAGACGGAGACCTCGAGCGTCTTTTCTCTTTATGGTCTTTCCTGAACAAAAGGTTGACAAAGGTTTTGGAGCGCTGTAGGTTTGTTTTACCTTCTGCTGAGCCCTTTTCCTTTTGTTGTCCCTTCCTCTTCTTCTCTAAATATGAAAAAAATGGTAAAGTTGCTTCTTTAAATTAAAACACAATTGTTTAGATTTTTGCTTTAACTGAAAAGCAGACATGTAATATGTGTTAACTGCAACTTTAACTCCTGTTGCCAGCTGTATTCTGCATTCCCAGTATGCTTAGGCCTCTTGTAGTCAGCTTCTCTGCTCAGTGAGATAAATCTGCCAGTGTGACCAGGAACACAGTTTTACTGATAAATTGTAGCAACAACAACTTGAATTTATTATTGGAAGAGCCACCGTAAAATGCTGCTGCTTGCATAACAAACATCCATTTGCTTTTAGCCCACAGGAGTTCCTGGAAGGATGGGTGGGTTGGTTAATTAAAAAGGATAGGCTAATAACTCAACCAGCCCTGCAAAGCTTGGATAGGCATTTCTCATTGGGCTTGTTCTTATCCAGAGGTACAAAGAGTGGCTATAGCAACCAAAGATTAATTTGAGTCCGTATAACAAATGAGTCCCTTAACAAGCTCTGCTTTGAGCTTAAATCACTCAAATTAGTAATACTTTACTCCCGAAATAAAAGAGAGGATCAAAATTTTGAAAGACTTAATAATATTGTCACCTGAATGAAGATGCTGACCATCTAAACAGGTTAGTTTACCATGATGATTTAAAAGCAATACTGTCAAGTCACTAGTGTGTTAATAGTCAACAGTGCTGTGGCCTATTAGTAAGTTCTCTATTGTCCATATATATATATATATATATATATATATAAAGAAATTTGTTTTTTTCCCCTTTTTCTCCTTGAATTTTGTCTTGCTTTTAAGCCTCATTACAACAAAGGAAGCTTTCAAATGTTTTTTGTTGTTTTTGTAGTGTCACCAGATTGTAAAATATTGTAATAAAAACTTGAGACCCTCAACAAAGGTAATTTCCAACTCAAAATTTGATCTGTGATTTTTTCATTTAGGAAACTAGAGAGACGAAGAGAAAGAAGGAAGCTTTACAGTAATATCATTGTGCAGGATACAAAGTTTCTTTTCCAAGCATTTATTTGTAGGAGCATCAAAGTCTACTAGATATAGTTAAGTACATTATTTAATAAACAGTCTTTATTAATATTAGTGGAAAAAAAGAGTGCAATATTCAATTTATTGGACACAGCATTGTCTGTGTGGTTGTGTGTGTGTTTTGTTCTTGCTGATGTTACCTATTTAGAATCTGTTATATTTACTAACCTTCTGAAGACCAACAGGTCTTATGGAGATCAAAGTTTGGTCTACTGTAAATTTGCCAAACCCCCATTTCAAATATCAGGGAGTCCTTTTAGAGGTATGGTGTGAATTAAAATTTGGGTTAGAAAAATGCTGGTATTGGTTTGAGTCTGTCATGGTGAGAAATACAATTTTGGTGTGTGTGTGTGTGTGTGTGTGTGTGTGTGTGTGTGTGTGTGTGTGTGTGTGTGTGTGTGTGTGTGTGTGTGTGTGTGTGTGT